CTCTTACACTAACACTGTCTTCTCCCACAAGGGGAACAACAAAGTTCACTCGCTAACTTGCAGGCAACCAGGCTACCCTTTTAAACCACAGTCTACATTTTCCTAAATTTTGAATTTCACTTAGATGGGATACTTCTAATTTATCACTAAGTACAACATAAACTAACACCTAAAGTACAGAAGCCAGTATTCAATTATTATCATCACAAACAGTTTGAAGCTTAGCACACTAAGGAGAACAACCTGACAACTTTACCCAGGGAGTAAGTACCACGGTGTAGCAACAAGGAAACAGCACAGGGAAAGGAACATGGGTTGAGAGGAGGCCAGAGTTGAAAAACCATTTCATTCATTTCACAAATGCTTATCATTAATTAGTCAAATAAAATTAACTGAGCTTCTACTTCCTGTGACCAACATAAAATACCTCCTATTTCCCAAAGCTTTTAAATGAGGCAATGTGCATGTTCTTTAGAATGGTGCCTTGAAGTTAACTTACTCAAATTAAAATTCCTATTAACACCATCACTAGGATTCCCAGCTCAGAACTCAGACCATGCTATTTCATGTGGTATAACTACCAAATTAAGCTTCACTTATTCCAAATAATGTTGTCTGATGTGGAATGTCCTTCTGTATATGAGCTGCTTTTCTTAGATAATAAATATAGCTGTTTCGGCCAATGGCTTAGCAGAGTAAATCCAGGCAGGAAATTTGGACAGAGATATTGAGACAGAGAGATATAAAGTCAGAGAGATGCCATGTAGCTGCCAAAGGAGAAGGATGCCAGAAACTTACTGGTAGGCCACAGCCTAGATTAATAAAAATGTAAAAATGTCTTAATTTAAGATGTAAGAGGTAGCTAGAAATACACCTGAGCTATTGGCCAAACAGTGTTGTAATTAATATAGTTTCTGTGTGATTATTTGGGTCTGGGTGCAGTCTCTATCTACAAATGGATCCCAACATGTCCAAATAGCCTACAGTACAGAAATGACGCTGTGAGCTGCCTTCCTAAACATCATCTGCAAGAAGTTAACTCAGGCTCTGAAGAACATGCACCAAAGTTGTGATACCTCCAAGGTTGGTCTTCAGAACTGCTCACCGTTTTTCCTCCTAAGACAGCATTTCTCATTGTCCTAGAACGCAAAGGAGCTCAGGTCTGGCCAACAAGCTGCTGGGAGGCACCTGCTTCCACCTCACTCGCAATGAAATTATACACACATCACAATATCTGACTTTTTTTACATGGACGCTATGGCTCAAACACATGTCCTCATGTTTGGGGGGTAAATATTTTACCAACTGAGCTACCTCCTCTACTCTTGCATATTACATTTTAAAGAAGGACACACGTAGGTTGGGACTGTAGCTCAAGAATGGAGCCCTTGCCTTGCATGCAAGATGCCATGTCCTCACTGCAACTCATTCTTAGTGCCAGCAATAATGACCAAATCCAATCTAATCAGTCACTGCCCAGCTTATCTTGCAGGCTCCTCCATTTATCAGCCCTCAGCTGTTTCTTTATTGTGTCTATTACCACCTCACATGCTATTATTACTTGTCCACTATCTCTACTCCAACTGGAACCTAAGTTTCATAAGACACAGCTCTGTGCACTGCTGTATGCTACTGCCATGAATGAATGGCCCGATTATATATAAGCCAAAACCTTCAGGGCCATTGCCTTTCTTTTTTCATTTTACTCCATCTCTACCAACATGAACTGTCACCTAAACACAACATGTACTTCCGCGGCCCTTGCTTTGCCATAACAAACTTTCCTCATCATCCAATCAAGCCACCAAAGTATCAACAATATTTTTCAAACCTTCTTCAGGAAGAATCTAAGCCCAGAGCTTTCTCTCCTTTGTACTACATCTATAACTCTCTGTCTACACTAGCGCTAATTACAATACTGGAACTTGTAATCTCTTCCTAGATTGCGAGTTCTTAAAGACCAGGGCTTTATCGCTAACCTAGCACAGCCATTGTTATAAAGCAATTTATCTGCAGATATCACTAAAGTAACATATGCATGACTATTCTGCAAGAGGAATGAAAGCAGGAAGTATTAATAAGTCACTGCTCCATGAGATAAAACAGTGACAACCAACACCACCACCCAGGGTAAGGAAAGAGGAGTACTATGTAAATCACTGATGATTCCAAAACCACCCATCACATCTGTAATTGCATCTTGCTGGATATATACTAGATTCCTCCTGCTCCAAAATTCGCCTTCCCCTTAGGCTCAGTTCTTATTGCTACAGATGTTGAAACTCAGCTAAGTAGCAGGAAGTGGAAAGAAGACCTGGGTTTCCCAACGAACAATAATCAAGTAGAATGATCACACTCCAAAGTTTCTGATGTTTTATCTAAGACATGATTTTTTGTTTCCCTTAATACAATGTTGTGTTACGCACTCAGTCAAATACAAGCATTCTGATTAAACTTCAGAGTAGTTCTGCATGTACAGATGTTACCACTACCCAGCTAACTCTGAGCTCCCCACAATCTACACCCTATGCCATAAATGGGCTAGTTTTGCCTAGGCTACCAACAACTTCAGTCTCTGACAGCCTTACAAGGACTACACCCATCCAGAGCAGTTATCCTCGGCCTTAAGACATCTTATCCATTACCTCAGAGCATTGATTGCTATTTCTTCTCTAAATGCCTAAGACAAAGGCCACTAAATTCAGTCCTGAAGAAACCTGTCCTGCCTACTGAATAAGTATATATATATATATATATATATATATATATATATATATATATAGTTTTATCACACAAATGCATGCAAATGAGAAAATATCTATGCATATGAAGCCATTGGGGGGAAGAATGAAGAATTTTAAACCCTATAACTTCAGTGAAACCAGAGGTGACATATGACCCTCAATTTTAACCTCCTACTACCAAATAACCAAATTCTGGAAAATGTACCTCCTCATCATTTTCAAATGGTTTTCCTTAGTTCAGAGTTCCAGCATTATTAAGATACGAGATTCATAACCACTGTCTTCAGACACAAGGACAGCTACAGCTATTTGTTGAGAGCTTGTGCAACACTAGCATAGGCTGTACACTAAACATTTCATAGTTTAGATGCATTTTTCTGTTTCCAAAGCAAAACAAGGCAGGAATTGGTTCTTCCTGGTTTTTTCGGTTTTTTTTAAACATTTTGTAATGATTTATTTATTCTTTTTTTAATATTTATTTATTTATGATTTATTTATTCTTATTTTATGTGCATTGATGTTTTGCCTGCACATATATGGCTGTGTGCGGATGTTAGATTCCTGGAGTTATAGACAGTTGTGAGCTGCCATGTGGAATTGAACCTGGACCATCTGGAAGAACAGACAGTGCTCCTAACTGCTCAGCCATCTCTCCAGCCCCTTTGGTTTTATTTTCTGAGTCTGAGTCAGGGTCTCTTTTATTATGTAGACCAGGCTGGCCTCGAACTCAGAGGCACGAGCCTCTGCCTCCCAAATGCTGGAACTAAAAGTGTGCACCAACACCTCCAGGTAAGGAGACAGAAGCGCTGAGAGAGACTGTCAATTCACAAGTAGAAAACGCCCTAATGGAATTCAAACCCAGGTCTGCTTCCAGTCATTATTATACTGCCAAACCAACCTTCACTTCCACTCCAGGGTGCCCTTACTAAAAAGTAAACCTAATGCTTTGCTCCACATACCCTAAAACCAGTTTCCCCTCTCAAACCTTCGCCCCTTGTCCTTCTCACCCTTATGCCACATGAACCCCAGCAGTTCCATAGTCTCGCCCTTTCCTGACCTGGACCATTCTGTTTATCTACTATGAACACTGTTCCTCCCCAGTGGGCTATTTTTAATACAAACTTCAAGATTTACACAAAAGAACTGTAACTCAAAAAAGTCTTTATCCTAAGAATTACACACTCAAAACTGGGTTGAATGACCATGTTTCAATTACTAGCTAAATTTCTTACATATATTACTTTAGGGACTTACAGCGAACAGTGTATTTCAGAATCTCCGCATTTCTAGTACAGTGTGTATGCAGTAAGGACTTACAAGGGGTGAATTAAAGAAGCTGTCGATTGGTTTTTGATGACCAACCTGTAACACAGGCACCTGTACCTGCAGCGGACTTCTCTCTTTTTTTAATTTCTTCATCTGTAAAATGAGAGACTACAGCACCAACCTAATAGCTTAGGAAGAAGTAACAGATTTAGCGCCATCCCCAGTACTTTGAAAGTACCCATTAAAGTTAGCAAAATCGGCTTTCATTCTCCAAGTTCCTCCAAACAGATGATCTCAGAAAACACCATCTTGCAACATCTTCCATCCGAAACGAGAGATTTCTTCCAAAGGTCTTGGGATTTCATCAACATTCCTCAGCCAGACGCTTGTCTTTTAGCTTCTTACAGAGACCAGTAGGTAGACTTTCCAGCTCTTAAGTAACTAATGCTTGCAGTCTGCTGTACCTTACTCGCCAGTTTCCTCCCTGAAGTCACAACCCATTCCCATAAGGAAGTGGTAGCCTCCCCCACAGAAACCACTCAGTGACCTTTCCCGGAGTATCAATTATCCTGACCCTACTTCATCCCGCTCCCAGGCTTTTGAAAATTAGCAAAAATCTATCTAATGCAAATCTAAACCTCCTCATCACAGATTAAGAAAGCCCCCGGTACCCGTTCAAAGATCTTCAATGACAGAGAATGAGTTTCTACCACCAAAAACCAAGAACAGGGATTCCTCTAAATTCTTCTCTATACGAGGTCATGAAACGCGTTCCGGTCAAAGGGACCAATATCAGCCAACCCATGCCGCCCCCTCCAGACAGAGCCCCGCGTCTGGTCCACTCTCCGTCAGCGAGCTGATGTGCGCGCAGGGACTGGGATGCCTTCCGCCCACCGTGTCAACTCCTTGCCCACTCCGGTGCCCTCCTCTCCCTCAGCCAGGCCGCGTGCGGCCTCCCGCCGCCAGCTCCTTCCCCGGCCCGCTACTCACCGCTTCTTGGGGATGGTGCCCGACTCCGGCGCGGCGGGAGTGGCGGCGGGCGACGCCCCGGCCGCCGACGCGGCTCTCCGCGCTTTACACTCATTGGTACTCGGAGCCTCCTGGGGCCGGCCCAGCAGATGGCCCGACAGAACCCGCAGCCGCCGGCGCGCGCGGCCCGCGTCTGGGTCCCGCTCGCTCGCGCCCGCCTCGCCCGCCGCCTCCGCCATGGCTTCCGCCTTGTGCCGCCGCCCGAGGCCGCTGGGCGCGGGTGAAAGGTCACTCAGAGCGGCGCCCCGCGCGACCATTCGCTGCGGCACATCCCGGCAGCCACCGCGGCGACTGGCGGCAGGGGCCTAGCGCCTGGAGCTTCACGGGCTCTGTCCCCGCCCACCGCCGCTTCGCCCCGCCCCTCCCCGCCTCGACCACGCCCTCCGCCTGGTCCCTGCACGCCTCGGCTTGGCGCACCTGCCAGGGTGAGCGGGTTAGTTCCAGCGCACACGGGATTGGCCCAGAGGGGGCAGGAGGCGAGCCAAACCACACGACACTCCCGCAGCCCACAAACCTGTGGGTGTGGCGTCCTGGAAGTAGCCCGAGCGCCTGGAGGGTTAGTTCCTGGGACTGATGCCCGGGCGCTTGAATAGTGGGCCACCGGTGGTGCTGCTTACCTGGCAATAGAGCCAGGCCTGCGTTTCTTGGTAGACCGCTCTTCTTGGCTTGGTAGGTCAAAACCGATCCTCTAACCTATAGAGCCAGTGTCTCGCTCAGTCTCATTTCCCATCACCTACTGAGTGATGAGCACTGCGCTCAGCGCTCGTGTGGAGGTCAGATGACAACTTCCAGTAGCCTCCCTCCACCATTCGAGCCCTGGACATCAAGCGTGGGTTGTCAAGGTTGGTGGCAAGTGCCTTTACCCACAGAACCATCTTGCCTACCCTGAGGTGTATTTTTATACAGTCCTCAGGCTAATGGTTTTTCTCCTTGAAAAGGTGTCATCGGCAAAAATACCTCTGAGTTTATTTTGCATTGGCCTCCTAGGCATGGGGCCTACCCTGAAGTGTGGCTAATATACCCAGTGAGACTCCGCTGGAGGAAACGAATTTTTCCTTTGCAACTGGGGTACTAATTTCAGATAACTTCTTGGTTGGGGTTGCCCTCTCAGCTCTGGCACCCCATCTGGCTTGAACCTCTGAAAGTCCTGTTTGTGCTGCCACAGTCTCTGTGAGGTCATATGTGAATCTGCCCTGTTGCATCAGGAAGACACTGTTTCTTTGGAGTTATCCATCTCTTCGGGCTCTTTCCTCCTCTTCTAGATAGATCCCTGAGCCCTGCAGGGAGGGCTTTGATGAAGACATCCTATTTGAGTAGCTGGGCACCTTTTTATACTTGTTTTCAAGTGATTTAAAAGCTATAAAGACCTAGTAACATTTATCTTGTGGAACCACTTAACATCTCTGTTCAATTGTTTTGCTCTTCTTCTGACTTTTAAATTCATGGGCCCTGTTTTGGTGCACACCACAAATCTTTTCACACCACAGCAAGCCTGCTCCTGCTGGGTGTGTTTAGGACTCAGTGGATGATGGAAAAGTAGATATACATTCCCGGACATGTGATAACAGAGGACAGAGATCCTTCACTTGATTGTCTGTGAGAGAAATAGTGCCATACTTAAAAAAAAAATGTTTTAGACCTTGTTCTACCTTCCAGTAGCATGCTCGTAATCATAATCACCTTTTGTCTTGCACAACCTGAAGAAAGACACATTCATATCTATTAACCTGATAAAAGTCACCAGAGTAGGTAGAGGTTACTCAGTTCAAGACTTAATGAGCTGAGAGTTAATCCTAAATGTCATTCCCTCCGTTCATCTGGGCATGGCTTCCATTCCCTCATTTGTTCCTTCCTTTATCTTTATCAAGCTAACTCAGGTGTCACCGGTGACATTGCTCCAGAGAAAAATAACAGCCTTGGTTTAGACTTATCAGTTATGGAGTTAAGATGTCCTACTGTTGACAGAGGTTGCTGTCCCACCCAGACCCACAGCCATTTAGTCTCAAAGAAACACACAGAGGCCTATATTCTCCTATTCTGGTCACCGTGCCTATGCTTCCTGCCTGGCTACTGGTCAATCAACGTTTTGTTGAACCAATATAAGTAACAAATCTTTACAGGCTATAAGACCATTGTCCCACAGTAATTTCCTTTTTTTTTCCTTTTTAAAACAAGAACTCTAATCTGTTTTGTTTAGCTTTTTTCCTGACCATTATCCATAACAACTTGTAATCAATAGTCTAAACAAAGACAAATACCTATAATCCATTTTGGGGGAATGTGGGTGTAGTTTTTGCAGCTACATCCTGATGATTGGGGGTGCTGATAATCTTATGGGTACCTAAAGAAAATTTGGGTTATGGCCAACTCTTGACTAGAATATTCTGTGAGGCTTGATCATCTGAGCCAACACTCTTGAAGCTGTTCTGAACGTTGAACTCAGAGGAAACTCCAACAGAGATCCTCTGAAATGTTGAATCATCTGGGCCATCTGCTCCTATCAGAGATTTTTTTTAGGGGATCTTCCTTAATCAGACCTGATTTGTTTTAACCCAGAATGAATCCACAGCCTCTCATTTCCTGTGGAAACAAAAGCAAAACCTCTTCTCCAAAGTAAAGTATCTTTTGACTTAAAGTTTAAAGTCAAGGCATTTTCAAAATATATAGGTTATATTAATCCAGCAGCATTTTTTTTTATTTATTAAAGATTTCTGTCTCTTCCCCGCCACCGCCTCCCATTTCCCTCTCCCTCCCCCAATCAAGTCCCCCTCCCTCGAAAGCCCAAAGAGCAATCAGGGTTCCCTGCCCGGTGGGAAGTCCAAGGACCTCCCACCTCCATCCAGGTCTAGTTAGGTGAGCATCCAAACTGCCTAGGCTCCCACAAAGCCAGTACGTGCAGTAGGATCAAAAACCCAGTGCCATTGTTCTTGAGTTCTCAGTAGTCCTCATTGTCTGCTATATTCAGCAAGTCCGGTTTTATCCCATGCTTTTTCAGACCCAGGCCAGCTGGCCTTGGTGAGTTCCCAGTAGAACATCCCCATTGTCTCAGTGTGTGGGTGCACCCCTCGCGGTCCTGAGTTCCTTGCTCATGCTCTCTCTCCTTCTGCTCCTTATTTGGACCTTGAGATTTCTGTCCGATGCTCCAATGTGGGCCTCTGTCTCCTTTCATCACCTGATAAAGGTTAATATTCAGGAGGATGCCTATATGTTTTTCTTTGGGTTCTCCTTCTTATTTAGCTTCTCTAGGATCACTAATTATAGGCTCAATGTCCTTTATTTATGGCTAGAAAACAAATATGAGTGAGTACGTCCCATGTTCCTCTTTTTGGGTCTGGCTCTCCTCACTCAGGATAGTGTTTTCTATTTCCATCCATTTGCATGCAAAATTCAAGAAGTCCTTGTTTTTTACTGCTGAGTAGTACTCTAATATGTATATATTCCATACTTTCTTCATCCATTCTTCCGTTGATGGGCATCTAGGTTGTTTCCAGGTTCTGGCTATTACAAACAATGCTGCTATGAACATAGTTGAGCATATATTTTTGTTGTATGATAGGGCATTCCAGCAGCATTTTAATCAAATGTCTTTTAACAGCCTTTGCTTCTTTCTCAGCTATCAAACAATTAAAAGACAATACAATAACATACTGTATCCAGATTCTCTGTGTATTTTTCCCTTTTTACATGGCTTTATTTTAAACTATATTTTTTTATTTTTAATTTTTGGTTTTTTGAGACAGTGTTTCTCTGTGTATCTTTGGCTGTCCTGGAACGAGTGCAGTGGTGGAGGGAGGGAGCATGAACAGACCTACTGGGCAGGTCCCAGTAGGAATGTATTCATGCTCCACGTTGGGCACCAGATGCAGATGAACATGATAAAGTGATCCCACACTGGCTCAGAATGGGGTATAAAAAAGGGTTCTTTATTTAGGGGTAGGCTCACAGATCTACAGTCCTCTGCATGAGCGGGAAATAGGAACCGAATCCAGTAGTCAAGAGAGAGTGAGCAAGCCAGTGCGTGCATTTTTAGTACCCAAGGTCACACCCAACCTGGTCCAGCATCTCAAAGGCCATTGGCTGAAGGAGTTCCCCCAGCACCCTACAGCTTCTGATATTGATTATTCTTTACTCTTGCAAGAGTATATTGATTCCCTTGTTCTTCCTTGAATGACACAGAATCTGGTCTCCTCTGTCTCCTTTCATGCCCCCCCCCCCCATGGTGTCACTGCCATCATGTCCTACCAACTTCACAGTTACTTTTACTGCCCTTTTGCCTTTATACGACTAGAGTTTCACTAGTGCTTTCTCTGTGTGGGCATTATTTCCCTAAGAGGGTCTGGTTTTCATTTCTCATACGCTGCCTCGATATAAACATTATTTACATGTTTTTCTGTTGCCCAAGTTCTAATTGGTCTTAATAATGAAAGCCTGGAGCCAGGTATAGGGGTAAATGCTGAAAGATCAGAGAGACAAAGGAGCAAGCCACAACCAACTCCTACCTTGTGAACTCCTCAGCCAAAAAAGGGCCGAGCTCCTGTCTTTGCCAGCCTTATATTTCTCTCTCCACCCAGCCATATTACTTCCTGTCTGTCTGTACAGACCTCCAGACTTCTATGGTTAACTAGTGGCTAACTCCACCCTCTGATCTTTAGGCAAAAAATTTGTGCTCTTTATTTGTCAGAGCACAAAATATCACATTTCCTCCAGAAAAGTCCAAAACTTCATAAAGGCAGAAGTCATATTGTAGCTGAAACTTACACTCAATTTATAAGGGACTCAAAAATTTGAATATGGGAGAGGAACTAGAGCCACAAATGAAAATGTCTAGCTAATAATTAATGATCAGTTGCCTCCTAGACTGCAGTGGCCTTTGGAGACCATCTCACCTCCAACCTGGTTCTTTTCCACTTCAAGGATGGTATTCACAGACATCAAAAAGTGCAAACGGGGTACTTTTTTTTTAATATATCAATTTGTGAATAACAAACTTTAAGCAGGATAAAACAACTTGAATATTGTCCCACAGGATTTTAATAAGACAGGTTTGAACACCTGTTAGAAGTGGAATGTTATCTAGGAGCCTTGAAAGCTCTGAGAAATGTTCTGTGATTTGTTTGGAGCTTTTGTTAGATTGTTGTCTGTTTGCTTGCTTGCTCATTTATTCTGACTTAGGGGTCTTACTATGTAGCCCTGGCTGGCTTACAACTCACTATGAGATGAGGATGTCCTCCAATTCACAAATCCACCTGCCTCGGCTCCTACCTACCCAGTGTTGGATTTAAAGACGTGTGTCACCTCTCCTGG